GACGAGGCGAGATTTGAGACGCAACGGTTCATGTTCGTTTTAAGAATTCTAATGTTATTTAAACGAAGTATTGCTAATGTGGTTAAACGATGTAGCTTTACTTAATAAATCTAGATTAACTAAAATCACACAACACACACACATTGTACAACAGCACACACACAACACACACACACACACACACACACACACAACCACACACACACACACACACGCACAACACACACACACACACACACACACACACACTGAAATATACAGCGTGTTTTATTTCAGTGAAGGTGGTAGGGTCGTGTTGTGTGTGTGGTGTGTGTGTGTGTGTGTGTGTGTGTGTGTGTGTGTGTGTGTGTGTGTGTGTGTGTGTGAGTGTTGTGTGTGTGTGTGTGTGTTACATACAAATATTATATATTATATATATATATATAATATATATATTATATATATATACTATTATACATATATATATTAAATATATTTATATATATATATATAATATGTATCATATATATATATATATATATATATATATATATATATATATATATTATACATATGTGTGTGTGTGTGTGTGTGTGTGTGTCTGTGTGTGTGTGTGTATGTGTATAGTTAATGTTTGTGTGTGTGTGTGTTGATGTATGTTTCCTGGCTGAAATATGTGTATGAATACGTGTACACACTTGTGGGTGTTTATTTGTTTTATTTGTAATTTTATAGTGTTTACATGTGCATATGCTATATTTAGGAGGTTCGCATGCTTGAACATATATACCCATATTTGTCTACGTGTTCTTCGTAGACGTTCTATTTCTTCTGAAAATAGATATTACGACTCTCCACTGAGTACACACGTAACAATTTGCAACAGTTCAGCGCAAAAGACAATAGTCATGGGGCGAGGGAATGCTCTTGAACTCCCGCCTGCATTTATTCAAACCGGTTTTAAGCTTTGCAGAATTGTTTATCAAGGTTGCAGTAACTCAGCATCAAAATCCTGTGACTGGCCTGCATTCACCTCATTAAATTTTCGCTTCACCTTTGCGCCAAGCCAACCGTAACACACAGTCAGTAGGCTCCCATTTTTTTTGTTTTTGTTTTTACACGAGTTATCCCGCGCAGTCTGGTAATCCCGTTTTCCTCGGAATGGAGATTAGTTCCCCCGAAACGACCCAATTTCATTTTGTATCCATCAGGAATTAAACGGTAATGAGATATAATTGAAAAAGATATTGCGCCGCAGTGTGGCAACAAATTGATATTTAATCCTGTGAAGAGGTGACATATGATCTCATGTTGCAATTGTTTTTTTTTTTTTTTTTTTTTTTTTTCATGTTATTGTAACGTGTCACTGTATAAGTAGGTTATATCGTAGTAGCTTGGACATTTGAGGATATTAGTATGAAGATATTAGTGGAAGCGATGTTATTGTGGAGACGGTAATGATGATGTTACTTTGGTGATGAGTTTAACAGTAAGTATTACACACGAATTAATATTATCACATGACAAGTACATTACAGTTTATCAACAATGGTTAGAATGTTAATAGTATTCACAATATGAATAGCCAGAATGAAAAATTGTCGAAAAAAAAGTTTTGGAAGTGAAAAAGATTTACATATCTAGATTTAAAAAAGATAATAAAATAAAAACAACGCAATGAAAAGATTTGCATATCTAGATAAAAATAGATAGAAACCCAATGGATATAACATCAAAACCAAAATTCAGCAATTTTTTTTTTTAACCGACCTGCCATCGTACCAAAGGTGGAGAAAATTTGCATAAGCAGAAGGCTCAGCATGACGTCACAGAAAATTTTATGCCTTCCGAGAAAAATTGAAAGTAAACCGAATATGCGGTCACTTGTCCGGTTCGGCATTAAACTGATATTGAGGCGAGGCGTGTACACAGATTTCTTTTTAAAAATGTATTTCAAAATGCCCTCGAACCCGTTTTGTTTCGCCAGTTCTGTTTGAACTTGGCGCTGCGGTTCGGTCGAATGTGAATGTTATCGAACGCGTGAACTTGTTTTTCTCTTTCCTTTTCGTTTATCATGGGGAGGAAGGGAGCGCTAAGGGACCTTGCGAAACAAATGGGATTACACACGCCCCCCCCCCCCAACACAACATATATATATAATAATATAATATTGTATATATTATTTATATTGTGTGTGCGTACATATATAATATATATATATATATATTATATATATATATATATTATACACATATATATATATATATATATATATTATATATATATATAATATATATATATATAATATTTATTTGCGTCTGCGTCAGCGTTTGCGGGTGTGTTTGTTTATAATACATATATAGAATAATATATAATATATATATTAATACATTATCCATATATAATATAGATATACAAACATACATATATACATATATATATACATATATATATATATATATACATATATATATATATATATACATATATGATGTATATATATATATACATAAAATATATATATATGTATATATATATATAATATATATATATATGTGTGTGTGTGTGTGTGTGTGTGTGTGGTGTGTGTGTGTGTGTGTGTGTGTTGTGTTTGTATACATTGTATACAGTATATACATACATATGCATATATGTTTATATTTACATACATATATAAATGTATGTATATATATATATCTATATATTTTTTTGCGCGCGTCATATATGTATGTATAGGTATATAAACAGTAGCGGTGGTAGTAGTACCAATGGAAGCAGCGGCAAAAATATCTTCAGTAATTAGTTATAATATAATCCGTTAATATTATGATAGGTCGGCCATCTCGGCAAACGAAATACGAAAAAAATAATAGTGATGACAAAAAGAAGTGACTTGTAGACCTTGTAACCTTTTTTTTCTTTCTCTTACGCGGTTCACTGGGCACACAGTGGGTCAATAACGGGTATCTCGTATTTTTGAGCTTGGATATACGCATTGTCGAATCTTCTTTGTTTTTTGTTTGTTTCCCCAAAAATCCTTTCCACAGGGCGCTTGCGAAACGGTTTAATCTCAAATTTGACAGTTCTGAATAAATCTCATTATTTTCGTCAAAACTTTTTTTTTTTTTGGGGGGGGGGCAATCTTATCATGAAAGCTTGAGATTAATAGATATTATCTTGGTATTTTATTATCTTATTATCACATTATTTTATTATCATATTATCTTGGTATTTTATTTCTCTGGTCTCGTTCTCCTTGCTTAATTTCACAAAGGTGACTTAATCCAAATAATCGTATTTCCATTTTCTTTATGGAGGTTAATTCTGTACTGTATACCAAACCAGTCTTGTTTTTCTTCTAAATTTAATTCCCACTGTTTAGCCTACATGCTCTTACTTGCTTTGTCACGGCACAGATATAATACATTTCTTGTCTTTATGTAAGGTCGTATTAAGAAACAGGCAAACCGGCTCCTCTCGTTTGCTTGGTAGACATCTTGCATTCACGGCCGGTGAAGGTTGCATGGAAACGTCTGGAAGCTTTCCTCGTCGTTTTTGTTTAAGGCCGTGACGTAGCATGTTTGGAGAAGGGGATGATCGTTGTAAATACTTGTTGGGTTTATGCAGGTATTTCAAAAGGGGGATTGTTTAATAGATGTAAGAATGTTAGTAAGAATGTTAATGATCCCGTTCGTGGTTTTAAAAAAAATATGCGTGTTTGTGTTATAATGAGTACTTAGGCCGTTGGGGTAAACAGCTGATGCCTAGTTTATGTGTTTTTATGCATTATTCTGGAGGAAATTGCTAGATGATTAAGGATGAAAGTATGATTTCAGATTCTGTTCTGCTTCATTTTGGAACCAGAAATTGCTGCTTTATTATACGTTTCATGCACGTCCTTCGAATGGGGAGAAAAGCCAAAACAAAAGTGGTCGAGAGCAATGGAACAAAACTAGTCGAAGGAAAGTTCGAGCATAGCGTCTGAAATGTTTGTAAACGACGAAGAAAAATATGTAACGCACCAGCATTTTTTTTTTTTTTTTTTAGCGGTCGAGAAAGGATTCCATTGACCTCGTCCTGTACTTATTACTAAGGTACAGGATTTTGCATTTGTACAATGTCATCACCACGCGACCCATTTTCTTTTATTTTCTACGACCTTTCCATTTTCTAATGAGGTGTGACTGTGCCTGATTTTGCGTGCGTTCCCGTTTCCCGTAACACTTCCGTTATATAGGCTAAGGCCAGAATATTAGCTTGAAGACCTTAAAATAAAAAAGTATTTTTCTGTTTTTCTTTATTTTCACGATTATTTCACCGTTATTTGAGCGGTTATTAGTACATTCGAAGTGGAAGAGAAAGTGAAGGGAGTAAGGAACAATAACTATGAGAAAATAGGTAGAGTACGTTTGATATTTTGTTGTACTTTGCCGTGTTAACCGCCATTGTGGTTAAGTATTTCTCCCTTTCTTATGGCTAACCTGTAAATATCATAAAAGGTCTTTTGCGGCAAGATTTAGAATGCAATTGTGATGTAAAACCAATACCATGACTAGGCTTATGCGCCAAACAAAAACTCGTTCGTTTGAAAATGCTGAATTCGGTCTGGTTGTAGGTTAACGGCGCAGGTTCGTCGTACGCACCCTGGTAATAAGGTTTTTGAGGACTGGTTTACATAAATGATCGTGGAAGTGATATTGATAATCGTCTTTGGTGTTGCAGTTATTATTATCGTCTAGTTTTTATTTTTCGTATTGTTGATGGTAAGGTTTACATTTTCTTGTCACTTATTTTCGTTGCTATTATTATTTTTTTGTTGTTATTGTTATTACTACTACTACTATTGTTATTATTACCATGATTATTATTCTATTTTCTAACGTGCCTGGAGTATCACACACACAACGTTAAGATCGAATCTCAGTCTCGAAACACCATCAACACATATATAACCCACACACCAAAATTCTTTTTCCCAACCTCCCTTAATGCACACTAACCTCTTCTCCCTCCCATTCCAGGTGCCGAAAGAAGGAATGGAGAACCGACTTGCCCCAGACTTCAGTAATCATCACTTTTCATAATGAAGCCAGGTCGACTCTGCTTCGAACGGTGGTCAGGTGAGTGAGTCGAGTCGAAGGCGGGAAGGGCTGTATCGAGGTTAGGTTAGTTGTTCGGAGACTTAATTGGGTTTTGATGTTTTATTTTTTTTATTTTTTTTTTTTTTTTGGGGGGGGGGGGGAGGTAGAATTCATTGGGTTATGTTTGTTGTTTTAGGGTAGAATTAATTGGGTTTTGATTTTTTTTTTTTTTTTTTGGGTAGATTTGGTTGTTTTGGGGGTAGAAATAATTGGGTTTTTGATGTTGATGTTTTTGTTTTGGGGTAGAATTAATTGGGTTTTGATGTTTATTGTTTTGTTTTGGGGTAAAATTCATTGGTTTTTTGTTGTTTTTTTTTTTTTTTTTTTTTGAATGTGTATGATTGTGATATCTGTTTCTTTTATGGTATGATTATTGTGTTTATATTTTTTTTTCTCTTCCATTATTTTGTGTTCGCATCATCTTGTTCATTATCACCATCTGCATGCTATTCTTATTAGTATTATTATGCTAAATTACTTTGTAGGAAAAGTAATTATCAAACTTTTTTTTTTACATATATGTTATATATCTAAAATATCCAATGGAAAAAATATGAAGATTATGCGGGACAGGCGGAAAGAGAGAGAGGAGAAACGGGAAGGGGGAAATAGAGGAATAAAACGAAGGAGAAGAAAAGAAAAGATGAAGGGAAAGCGCAGGAAAAAAAAAAAATAGTGGAAAGAGGAGGAAAGGAATGAGATAAGGAGAAAAGAAAGACGAAAATAGATGGGATAGTAAAGAGAAAAGAAAAAAGGGAGAAGGGAAGGAGATAACAGGTAAGGAGAGCAAAGAAAAAGAAAGAAATTAAAGAAGAAAGGGGAAGGAGAGGGACAAGGCGGGAGAAATAGGAAAGAGAAGAGAAAGGGAAGGAGGAATGAAGGATAGAAGAAAGGAAAAAGAAAGGATTAAAAGGAAAGAGAGAAGAAAGAAGGAGAGGCAAGAGAAGAAATAACTTAGAGGAAAGGGAACAAAATCTGAAGTTAACCCTTTACTGGTGAAAAAAATATGACACACAAAGGAACCAGGAGGGAGAAAGGGGGATAATATTTAAAGAATAGAGAAAGAAAAAGAAGAAGAAGACAAAGAGTGGATCGCAATTTACAGAAAGGGTATAAGGACGTCGAGTGAGAAAGGAATAAGTAGGAGCTAAGAAATGTGAATGGAAAGGGAAGGAGGAGGGGGAGAAAAGAATAGGAAACTGGGAGGGAGTGAGAGATAGGGTGAGAAGGAGAGGAGTCAAGAAAAGAACGTAAGCCAAACAGAAAGAGGAAGAGGAGGAGGATGGTGATGATGACAATGAAATGATGATAATGAAGAGGATGATAATGATAACAATGATGATGATAATGATAATAACAATGATGATGATAATGAAGTAATAATAATAATGATAATATTAACAAGGATGATAATATTAATAATGATAATGATAATAATAATTTAATAATGACGTTTGGTAATGATAACACTAGTGATGAAGATAACAATATGATGATCCTGATGATAGTAATGATAACGGCAATGATTATAAAGCATACAAGCATAATGTAAATATAAAATAAAAAAACAAAAAGAAACAAAAGGAAAACAGACAAGAAAGACGAGAAAAAAATGAAACGCCAATGTCTTTCCAACATTGACAGAAAAGTCACGGTGATTGACAAAACCGCAATCCCACAGGAAGACAATGACACAGATTATAGATAAATAGAAAGAGGTGTTGTGACGTATAGAAAGTTATTGGACAGTTATCAATTTCTGATTGTTGGTGGAAGTGTGATGGATTGATGATGGTGGAAATGATGGTAATAGGTATGGAGTAATGGTGATGAAAGTAGGAAGATGGCGATGATTGTGATGGTAGAAGGGATAGCGATGATAAGATATGATAACTATGGGAAACTGGACGAGAAATAGAGAGATTTCAGCGATTATCGGTTATCGTACGTAAACATAGGCTTTTCATTCGTCGAAACCTGTCAGATTCCTAATGAAACAGGAGTGTTTACCTCGCGTTTTTTTTTTTACTTGGGCTTTTTGTGCCTGGCTCTTCATTTTGCAGTGGTCGGGGGTGGGATGTACTACAAAGAAAACGGTCTACGGTTTCTTGCACTTCTTTGGCGTTGTGTGATTTCGGGCTTGTTTATGTTTTCGTTCTTCTTCCGTTTCTTTCTCTCACTACCCTTTATTTTTTCGTGTCATTAGGTCAGATGTAAAGAAGAGCAAATAGACGGTTAACAGTTGCTACAATTTACTTGATTGTGTTCCCAATTAAATGCCTTTTAAGGAATGTTTTCGAACACGTGAACACGACAGGAAAAAACTGCTATGATAAGTAGCGGCCAACGTGACCACGTGACTACAATGGGCCCACTTGTGCTGCGGTCGTGGCTTTACAGCTGCCAACACAGCGATTATCAGCCTGGGATCACACGATTATGCTAGTAACCCATTATCAGCAGGAAAGGTTAACAGAAGAGCGGTGCTAGTGAAGCCTTTCTTTTTATGGGGTTACTTTTTTCTTTCTTTTCGTCATTTGAATTACGTGTTTTGGAAAGCATAGTAGGGGAGGGGGGAGCAGGGGGGGCGTGTTTGAGAAAAGCATAGTAGGGGGGAGGGGGGGAGAGGGGGGGACGTGTTTTGAGAAAACTAGTAGGGGAGGGGGGAGGGAGGAGGGGGGACGTGTTTTTGAGAAAGCATAGTAAGGGGAGGGGGGGGGGAGGAGGGGGACGTGTTTTGAGAAAGCATAGGAAGGGAGGGGGGGGGGGGAAGGGGGGGGACGTGTTTTTGAGAAAGCATAGTAGGGGGAGGGGGGGGAGAAGGGGGGGACGTGTTTGAGAAGCATTAGTAGGGGAGGAAGGGGGACGGGGAGGGGGGAGAGAGGTGAAAAGCAGGAGCGCTCCTCCGTCTAGACCGCTTCGCTTGGGGGAACCGAATCAGCTGGTGTCTGCAGCTGCTGTTTGATCTCAGCGGTATTCAATAAGCCTTTCGGGTCTTTGTGGGTAATTGCGTGCGGAGTGAAATGAATAATAGTTGAATTGCATGTGTTCTCTCGCGCTGTTGTGGGTGTTTGTCAGCATAAATTTAAGAGACAGTCGAGCTGCGATTTGGTTGTGTGTTATTTACGGATTTTTTTTTTTTTCTTTTTCATCTGGTGGTAGAGTTGTTGGATGGATAGATTAATGGGTAAGTAGATTAATAGATGGGATTTGATACCCTCACACGCACGCACGCACACAGCACACACACACACACACAACACACACACACACACACACACACACACACACACACACACACACAACACACACACACAACACACACACACAAAAAAAATATATATAGACGTATATATGTGTGCGTGTGTATGTGATTCTCGTTTGCGTGTGTCGCACGATCATCTTTCTCTCAGTTTTATTGTTTAACTACCAACGTTGAGCTAAATAAGTCATATACCGCTATATTCGCACGCATTTGCATGTTGAGCTTCGCATTTATTTTTTATTGAGAGCGTATATACATAGTATGATTATCCTTAATAAGTCCGGCGATGTGTAAAGGTCAGTTTGGATACCGTATATCCATCAGTGTCGATATGTAGTTGAAGGTCGAGCCACCTCCCATCCATCTCTCTCTCTCTCTCTCTCATCTCTCTGTCTCTCTCTCTCTCGTCTCTCTCCTCTTTCTCTCTTCTTCTCTGTCTCCTCTCTCTCTTCTCTCTCTCTCTCTCTCTCTCTCTCTCTCTCTCTCTCTCTCTCTCTCTCTCTCTCTCTCTCTCTCTCCTCTCTCTCTCTCTCTCTCTCTCTCTCTCTCTCTCTCTCTCTCTCTCTTCTCTCTCCTCTCTCTCGTCTCTCTCTCCTCCTCTCTCTCCTCTATCTCCTCTCTCTCCCTTCTCTCTCTCTCCCTCTCTCTCTCTCTCTCTCTCTCTCTCTCTCTCTCTCTCTCTCTCTCTCTCCTCTCTCTCTCTCTCTCTCTCTCTCTCTCTCTCTCTCTCTCTCTCTCTCTCTTCTTCTCTCTCTCATCCGCCCTCCTTTCCCTCCCTCTCTTGCCTTGTGACTCATACCCTCTTCTTCTCCAGCTTAAGAGTCAGTGCCAGTTCTTTTCGCTCCATCATAAAGCTTATCTGAAACCAACCTCGTTTTTACCCTTTGATTTTCTTTCCGCCGCAGACGCTCTTGCTTTGGCCCACCCTGAGACCCACCTGAGACCCACCCACCTCCCCGCCCAACCCTGAGACCCCCACCTCCCCCACCTCCCCCCACCTCCCACACCTCCCACTCCACGTCCCACCCGCTCACCCACGCACTTCACGCCACGCTTCCTCTCGAGCAAGCGCGCTTCTCTCTCTCTCTCTTTCTTCTTCTTTCTTTCTCTCGTTTTCTTTCCTCTCTCTCTTTTTTTCTTTCTCGTTTGCTTTTTCTCTCTCTCTGTTTCTCGTTTTCTTTCTTTTTCTCTCTCTCTCTTTCTCTCCTCTTTCCTCTTTCTCTCTTTCTCCTTCTCGTATTCTTCCTCTCTCCTCTCTCCACTCTCTCTCTCTCTCTCTCCTTCTCTCTCCTCTCTCTCCTCTCTCTCTCTCTCTCTCCTCTCTCTCCTTCCTTCTCTCGTCCTCTCTCTCTCTCTCGTCTCTCTCTTTTCTCTCTTTCCTCGCACGCTCCTCTCTCTCTCTCGTTCTCCTCTTTCTCGTCGATTCTCTCTCTCCTATTCTTCTCTCTCTTTCTTCTCATCCTCTCCTCACATAAACTCATACGGCTCACTCCTCTCTCTCTCTCTCTTCTCTCCTCTCTCTCTATCATATATCTTCTTCTCCTCTCTCTCCAAAATATACTCTCTCACTCTCTCTCTCGTCTCTCCCTCTCCTCTCTCTCTGTACTCTCTCCTCCCTCTCCTCTCCCCATTCCCTTCCATCTTCCAATCTCCTCTCTCATACCCAATCTCTCGCTATCTCTCTTCTCATCTCTCCACTCAAATATTTTTCTCATACTATATATATACCCAACCTCACTTCCTAAATCTAATCATCCTAAAAGACAGAAGAGAAGTCACCAATATCTTCTCTCTCTCTCTCTCAAAACTCTCTCCCTCCTCTCTATCTCTCTCTCTCTCTCTCTCTCTCTCTCTCTCTCTCTCTTCTCTCTTTCTCTCTCTCTCTCTCTCCTCTCTCTCTCTCTCTCTCCTCTCTCTCTCTCTCTCTCCTCTCTCTCTCTCTCTCTCTCTCTCTCTCTCTCTCTCTCTCTCTCTCTCTCTCTCTCTCTCTCTCTCTTTCTCTCGCTCTCGAGGACCACGTCTTGCACAGTACGGTCGTCTGTTAACCTCGTGGGTTGGCTGACTGGGCGAATGTGGTAGCCTGCAAAGTCTTTATTTGCTTTCGTTTGTTTGTTTATGCAGTAGGTTGTGGGGTTGGTTTGAAATCCGCTGAATATTCATAGATATTTTCAGTTTCAGGATTCTTAGATTTGGCTTAGAAGTGAAGGGATCGAAGCCTCCATGGCGTGCTGGCTCAGGGACGTGGGTGTCCATTTTAGATATATTTTCTCGCTCCTCCTTTATCTATTTGCTTTATTTGTATCTGAAGATTTATTTTTCTTGTTTGATGATGTGTTTTAAATCTTTTAAAAGCACTGAGGAATCTGATTTTGAAATTTGTATGGGGTTTAAACCTCTTAGACGCAAGCATAGTCAGGAAAAAATATATATGGAAAACGTTATAAATGAACGTAATGTGGAAGTCAAATTCAGAAACAAATCAAAGAGAATGATTCCAAAGGAGAAATAGAACGAGGGAGTGATACAAACATGATTGAAAAGGAGACGAAGAGAAGAAAGAAGAGGATGGTAATTAGAATAAAAGAAAATTTAAAGCTGAAGATGTGAGGAAAATCCAATTTAGAAAAAAATGTGTTTGATATATTTAGAGGAAGAAGAAATAACAGAAGTGGAAATTGGATTGAGAGTGAAAAAGAAATATATAAGACACTCGGAAATAAAACGGAGAGAGAGACGTAACTAGAATTAATGGAAATCGGTTTGAATATAAGATAAAAGAAGAAACAAAAGAGAAGATGAAAAAGAAACACCATTACCGTTGAGCAAAAAAAAAAAAAAAAAAAAAAAAAAAACGTAAAAAGGAAGTAAAACAAAGAGAGAATAAGTGCAAAACATGGTCAAAATGAAAGGAAAAAAAAAATACAAATCGTATAAAGAAGAAAGAGAAGGCAAGACCACCTTTAAAAAAAGGGAGGGGGGGTTGGGGGAGAAGGATAAGAAACAGGAAGAAGTTAAACACAAGTGGGTTTTTGGTGATGGTTAAAGAGATGGATGGGTGGAGAGGGAGGAGGGGGGGGGGAGAAACGTGGAGGAGGGGGGAGAGGGGGGAAATAAGGGGTTAAAGGGGGGGGGGGGGGGAGGAGGAAGTCGGATGTGGTCTTAATTGACTGTGACGGAGACGTATGGCAGATCCCTGTTGCACCATGAGTCCTGTTGCTGGCTGTTTCTCCGTTGCTGTGAAGGGGAAGGTAGGGCGGTGGAGCTGGGGGGGGGGGGGGAGTTCTAGGGTTGGGGGCTGTTCTGATATGACTTTTGCACTTTCTTTCTCGTTCTGTATCTGTTATTTTGTTGTTTTTTTTCTCTCGCTTTCTTTGATTATCTCTCTCTATCCTCTCTCTTTTCTTTCTCCCCCTTCTCTTTTCTTTTCTCCCCCCCTCTCCCTTTCTCTTTCTCTTTCTCCCGCTCTCTCTATTTTGCCTCATTTAGGATTTTCTATTTTCCCTCCTTCCTCTCTTCCTCGGTCTCTCAACATCTTTCTCCAATTCCTATATTCCATTCGTCTCTTTCTTGAACACACTCTTTCTTCACCTTTTCCCCTATCTCCTTTTGTTATTATTCCCCTTTCTCCCTTTCTCCCCTTCGGCTTAGGAAGAGATGTTAATAATATTAAATGCTAATGATTAAGGCGACCTCTTAATTGGTTTGTAAATATTTATTTAGTTCTTTTTTTCTCGTTTGATTGTTTGGCAAACACGATAACTTTTTATTTGAAGATAAATATTTGTGTATCAGTATGCAAATTACATCTGCATTTAAAGCATATAGTTTTTTTTTTGTAACTGATGTGGGCTCGCATCGAATGAAAAATGAATAGTTGCAGTTGAATAATTAAAACCTTGATTATGTTTTAATTGTCAGTGACAGGACAGATTAGGTAAATAAAGTAAACTTCGCTTTCTAAAAAAAACAAAAAAAAACAAAAAACAGGAATTTTGGTAAGCAATAAGAAATTTGGATACACACACACACACACACACACACACACACACACACACACACACACACACACACACACACACACACACACACACACACACACATACACACACATATATATGTGTGTATGTGTGTGTGTGTTGTGTGTGGTGTGTGTTGTGTGTGTGTGTGTGTGTATGTGTGTTGTGTGTGTATGTATGTATGTATGTATGTATGTATGTATGTATGTATGTATGTATGTATGTATGTTTGTGTAACATCATTGGTTCTATTAACCTGTATTTCGCCCCAGGAAGAAAAAATAAGAAAAAAAAAAAGAGGAAAAAAATAAACCTTCGCATTATGCAGATTCTAGCACTCAACATTCCCATTCATCTCGGCACACACCTCACCTTCGCTTCTCTTATCGCCCACCCAACCCACCCGCCTTGCCCACCCAGTCACGAGCGCCCACCCGGGAACAATGGGCTCTCCTCGCTGCTGACGGAGGCCAACAAGAAGCGCCTCTGTGCCAGGAACAATGTGACTTTTTTCACAACCTTCGAAGTGAGACGCTGGTGTTGCTGGTGCCTCCCCCCCCCCCCCCCCCCTCTTGCCTCGGTCCTCTTCTCCCTGCCTTTCCTCTTGGCTTAACCCTTTCTCTGTCCTCCTTCCCCTCTGCCTCGTTTCTTTTTTTCCTTAACCTCCCTCTTTCCCTTCCTTTGCTCCTTTGCTTCACGCCCCACCCCCCTTCCTCCTCCTTGCCAACCCACCCCTTCCCGCTCCCGTGAGACGCCGAACTCTAGGTCTTGGTCGGGTATCGGTAAGGTGTGGAGAGGTGGTGGGTGGGTGGGGGGAAACAAGGGGAGGTTTGTGAGGTAGGTGGAAGGTCGTACGCGACAGACCACCTCTCTCTCTCAGTCTCTCTGTCTCTCTAATCTCTCTCTCTCTCTCTCTCTCTCTCTCTCTCTCTCTCTCTCTCTCTCTCTCTCTCTCTCTCTCTCTCTCTCTCTCTCTCTCTCTCTCTCTCTCTCTCTCTCTCTCCTCTTCTCTCTCTCTCCCTCTTCTCTCTCTCTCTCTCTCCTCTCTCTCTCTCTCTCTCTCTCTCTCTCTCTCTTCTCTCTCTCTCTCTCTCTCTCTCTCCTCTCCTCCTCCCTCCCCTCCTTCCTCTCTCCTCTTCCCTCTCCCTCTCCCTCCCTCTCCTCCCTTCCCTCTCCCTCCTTCCCTCCTCTCCCTCCTTCCCTCCTTCCCTCCTCCCTCTCCCTCCCTCTCTCCTTCCCTTCCTCCCTCCTCCCTCCTCTCCCTCTCCCCTCCCTCTCCCTCTCCCCTTGTCTCTCTCTCTCTCTCTCTTCTCTCTCTCTCTCTCTCTCTCTCTTCTCTCTCTTCTCTCTCTCTCTCTCTCTCTCTCTCTCTCTCTCTCTCTCTCTCTCTCTCTCTCTCTCCCTCTCTCTCCTCCTCTCCCTCTCCCTCTCTCTCTCTCTCTGTAGATGTCATGGATGCAATCGAGTGATCGATTTTTTTCCTTTCTGGATAATGTGTTCATCGATTACTTCTATCCACCGTAGTCAAACTATAAAAAAAAATGTTGACAAAGATAAGAAAAGTACAGAGACAAAGAAATAATAGCGGTGACACAATAATTTTGTTTATATTTTACTTTCGTCTACGGGCGGAATCTGGGGCGGCTGGCGCGAGAAGCCCGTGTCGTTTCGTTGCATATTCATGGCGAGGGCGTGTGTTTGCGGGCGTGCGGGCGCGCTAATGACCACGGGAGAAAGGGAGGGGAGCTGGGACTCGTAATTAACGGGTGCCACCCCAGTCACACTTCCCGTGGCACTGTGGCACTGATGGGCCTTAGAGCTACATTTCGCGCGGCACTCGAGCGTGAGCATCGCCATTTGGGTTGGCATTCTTCCCCCGTGATGGTCGTGGGCGGCTCGAGTGATGCGCCGCCGCCGCTGCCGTCCGGGGGCTGGGGGCTGGGGTCGGGAGGCGGGGCTGATGTGGGCTGGGGTTGGAGTTAGTGGCGAGGCTGTGGGCTGGGGTCGGCGGCGGGGCTGCTGTGGGCTGGGGTCGGGCGGCGGGGACTGTAGGCTGGCGGCTGGGGTCGGGCGGCGGGGCTGATGTGGGCTGCGGGGCTGGGCGGGGCGGCGCGCTGTAGGCTCGGGGCCTGGGGCGCGGCGGCGGGCTGCTGTGGGCTGTTGGCTGGGGTCGCGGCGGGGCTGCTGTGGCTGTTGGCTGGGGTCGAGCGGCGGGGCTGCTTGTGGGCTGGGGTGGGCGGCGGCTGTAGGCTGGGGGCTGCGGGTCGGGCGGCGGGCTGTGGGTTGTGTGCTGGGTCGGGCGGCGGCGGCTGTTAGGCTGGGGCTGGGTCGGGCGGCGGGGTGCTGCTGGGGCTGGGGTCGGGCGGTGGGGCTGATGTGGGCTGAGGGCTGGGTCGGCGGCGGGGCTGCTGTGGGCTGTGGCTGGGGTGTGGGGCTGATGGGGCTGGGGCTGGGGGTCGGGCTGCTGTGGGTGCTGGGGTCGGGCGGCGGGGGTGATGTGGGCTGGGGGCTGGTCGGGGCTGGATGTGGGCTGTTGGCTGGGGTCGAGCGGCGGGCTGATTTGGGCTGGGGGCTGGGGTCGGGCGGCGGGCTGTGCTGGGCTGGGTTCGGGCGGCGGGGCTGTGGGTGTTGTGCTGGCGGGCGGCTGGGGCTGGGGGCTGGGGCTGGGGTGGGGCTGATGTGGCTGTTGGCTGCGGTCGAGCGGCGGGGCTGCTGTGGGCTGGGGTTGGCGCGGGGCTGTAGGCTGGGTCGAGCGGGCGGGTGTGGGCTGGGGGTTGGGGTCGGGCGGCGGGGTGCTATGGGCTGGCGTCGAGCGGCGGGGCTGTGGGCTGGTATCGGGCGGCTTGGCTACTGTGGGCTTCGGGACTGGAGTCGAGCGGCGGGGCTGGCGAAGGGGCCTACCTGTGTGCCTCGCCGTGTCTGATAATGTGGGTGTGTTTCTCTTATCATTATGTATCTTTCGTCTCCATCAACTCGCAATCAGTCTATCCATCCATCTGTCTATCTATCTATCCTTCTCTCTCTTTCTCACTCCATCCATCCGTCTATCTATCCATCTGTATCCCTCCTCCCACCCACACTCCTTTCCTTTCTTTCTTCTTTCTTTCCTTCTCTCTCTCTCTCTCTCTCTTCTCTCTCTCTCTCTCTCTCTCTCTCTCTCTCTCTTCTCTCTCTCTTCTCTCTCTCTCTCTCTCTCTCTCTCTCTCTCTCTCTCTCCTCTCTCTCTTTCTCTCTCTCCTCTCTCTCTCTCTCTCTCTCTCTCTCTCTCTCTCTCTCTCTCTTCTCTCTCTCTCTCTCTCTCTCTCTCTCTCTCTCTCTCTCTCTCTCTCTCCCTCCCTCCCTCTCTCTCTCTCTCTCTCTCTCTCTCTCTCTCTCTCTCTCTCTCTCTCTCTCTCTCTCTCTCTCTCTCTCTCTCTCACACACACACTTTTATTCGGTTTATGTGAGCTCGTTCGCATTTTTCGATATTCCTCTGCATCTGCTCACTCACTTTAGGCGTATTGATTTCACTATTTCACGAATAGGAATTCAACAAAAAATCATTATAGAATTCCACATTTCCACCCCCGCGCCCCCCGCCCCCCCCCCCTCCGCCCGTCACATTTCCACCCCCCCCCCCCTCCGCCCGTCTGCGAGGTACTGCCAGGGTATCGGGCTGAGATAAGCGCTCCAACAGAGTTTTATAATAACTGGTTTCTCCCGGATGCGCCGCGCTGCACTGATTGCGGGCCGCTCTGCGTCGGGCGTCAGCGCAAACAGGGCTTCATTTTCCGCCGGCAGAATTTAGGGGAATTTGCATTCTGATTTTGCAAAAATGAGCTCAGACTGATGTGAGTTATTAGGTATTTAAAAAAAAAAGAAAATAGTTTTTTTTATATGTGAATTGCATTTAAACGCGCTCGTACCCGCAAGCTCTATACGCTGACGCACATACGTGTATATAGAAACACACACACACATACATACATACATACATATACACATATATAAATGGGTGTGTGTGTGTGTGCATGTGTGTGTGTGTATCCAGCATGCATCTGACATAATTTATCAGATACAGAGATAAAAACAGAAATAGTAATTAAGGGAAGGGAAACACGCAATAGACAGATGAAAAGAGACAGTCAAACAGAGATAGAGAAGACAGAAAGAGAAAGAGAGAGGAAGGGAGAAGGAAGAACGTCGGAGTAGGAGCTGAACACAAGGACCACACCAAGGGCCATCTTGCAACTGGTACTTACGTAATTAAATTTATGTCTCGAGATGGGCTGAGTTGGTCGGCTCAGCCCAGCACTGTCTGGCGAGAAGGACAGGCCAGGCTGCGGTGACTAATAACTATAATGATAAGAGCGATTTTTTTCCTTTTTTTTCTTTTTTTGTGTGTGTCTCCTTTCATGCTTTGGATATTTTGTGTCCTTAGTTTATGCTTTGTCTGTCTTTTTATTCTTTTTAAGCTAAATGGCGAAGTCGTATTCAAGCACGTCGAAGGTCCAGCTTAAGAAGCGATATTCCGATGAATGGCAGTGAATATTGACGCTGAATGATAGGGCGCATGGCAAGGATAGCATCATACTTGCCATGACTCATGTCACTGGTGCCATTTGGTCGGGCAACACGTCCTTGTATACTCACAAACACTCATACACATGTGTGCATGTGTGTGTGTTTGTAGGTATTCATGTGTACATGTATGATTGTGTATGTTTATATGCACTTGCGTGGGTGCATACGTATTTGCGTATATGATACAGGCTTGTGTTCGCGACTCTCTGATTAATCTGTCGACGGATATACTGGAGCAAATCCCGGATTACTGATATGCTCTCTGTTGAGTCACACTCCCTGACAGAACCCTCACTCGAGGCACTTCCTTCGCATTCTTAAGCCCCTTCACACTTCGCAGCTTACTTGACTTCTAAGCACAAGTCGCCTCCCTTGTCCCATTCAGGACGGTGGTACTTCGTGTAAAGGCGTGAAGGCCATTTTCACCATTGTCAACGTCATCATAATCGTCATTATCAGCGCCATTACCTTAGGCACGGTTCTCATCGTAACCATCGTGTCATAGTCATCGCCGTCGTTATTTATATGGTCGAGCGGGTGTTTCCAATTCCTGCAGTACCGGAAGATCTTAGTTAACTATACTCAACAAGTCACTTAACTGTGTAACTTGAGAACTATAAAGGAAATTCTTTTATATATACATACACACACCCACACACACATACATATAGTGTTGTGGTGTGTTGTGATTTTTTATGGATTGCAGTGGATTGGGTCTCATTCTTCCTCTTATTTTATTTATCGAAAGCATAAGATATCTTATAGAAATATATTAACAAGAGAATTGAATATATGAGGTGGATGCATAATCAACTTTTGTAACGGACTCCAATTTCTGCGATATCAGCCATCCGCTACAGACGTCTCTCTCACTATAAAACGGAAACGGTGAATTCCACGCAAGCAACATCCTTTTACTTTCCGATTGCTTGTCACAAACCACTTGACCTTAGATACACCTTAGCCGTGTTAAAAAGGTCAGCTGGCACTAATAAGGTCAGCTGGCACTCTTATCTTGGGCGTGAATGACAGCTTTAACACATAGACGGTGCACTGTGCCGTCCGTAGGAGCCAGGGGATGAGGGGCAGGGAGGGGGAGGGAAAGGAGAAAGAAGTGAGGGACAAGAAGAAGAGGGAAAGGAGGAAGAGGGTGACGGACTAGGAGGAGGGGGAAGAAAAGGAGGAGAGGGGAAAGGAGGAAAGGGGTAATGGATAAGAAGGAGAGGGAAAGGAGAAGGAGGGGAGTGAAGGGACGAGAAGGGGTGGCGGAAGAAGTTAATGAAGGACAAGAGAGAGAAACAAAAAAAGGGGAAGGAGGTATAGGGATGGGAAACAGAAGCGAAGGGAGGGCGGGGGGGGTAGAGAGGCAGGGAGAAGAGGTGAATGTAGATGTAGAGGAGAGGATGGGGGGGGAGAGAGGAGATGAGGGCGGGACGAGGGGCAGGAGGATAGGTGATATCCCTGTACTACGTGATAATATCTTATCTTGTGTACACACGGCGGGAGGAGAGGAGGGGCGGTTCATCGGATACTGTGTGGACCTTCCCGCGGATTCCCCTGCCCTCCCCCTCCTCCCTCCCCCTTTCGGGATGCTCGGTCCCCCTTCTCTGGTTTGGTGTTGTTATCTAGTCATTCAGTATATATATATATATATATATATATATATAGTATATATATATTATATATATATATATATATATATATATATATATATATATATATAATATATATATATATATATATATATATATTATATATATATATATATAAATATAAATAATTATGTATATAGATATATAAATTTATATGTATAGTATATATATTATATAGTATATATATATATATATATATATATATATAATATATATATGTATATATAATATATACACACTATACCACACACACGCCACGTGTGCACAGTGTTGTCATTTCTTTTTATATATTATTATATATATGAATGTATATGTTTCATATTAATCTTTTTGTTAATGGAAAATAGTATTGCTCTTATTAATATTAATAGTATGTTTAGAGTACAATTTTAATAATTGTTAATATTGTCATTTTATAAAGCGTTTCCATAATTGTTGTTAATGTATTGTTATCATTCGTATTAGCGCTAGGATCTTCACCTGAACTTCTTGTTACTGAATCACACGTCAACGCTTGTCATTTCATTAGGCTCCATCGCCGCCTCCTGCAGCCGCTGTCCGGTT